GAAACTTTTGTCGACGCGATTTTTCATATTCCCTTCTGGAGTTGTTCGTTTCATTTACACATGGCGACTTTGCTGTTTGCAATTGTTGTTGTCAGCTGTGAACCGGCAAATCAAATTACACAAACGATCGAGAGCACAAAGCATGTTGTCCGAGCACAAGCAACTCGGTGCCCCTCTCCTTTCCTCGTCACGCTCTCTCCTACAAAAAAAAATCGCCGTGGTGGACGAGCGTCTAGCCATAATTCTCATCGAAGCGAGATTCTTGAACATCTCGCTCATCTGCGCCCATCCTCCGACGGAAGAGAAGGATGAGGCATCCAAGGATCTCTGCTATGAGCACTTGGAGCGCACCCAGAGCACTGCCCCCGCCACGATTTTAAAATCGTGCTTAGCGACTTAAAGCCAGGGCGGGTAAGGAAGGGATCTTTGGAACCACCGTCGGAAAATTCAGCCTTCACGACGAAACGTCCGACAACGGACTGAGACTGATCGACTTCGCCGGTCCCGAAACATGGTAGTATGCTGTACTAGGTTCAAGCATAAAAATATTAATCAAGCTACGCGGCTGTCTCTGGATCGAAAAACGAGAAACCAAATCGATCATGTCGTGATAGACGCACACTCCGAGGCCCAAACATCGACTCGGACCACTATCTTGTTGCAGCCAAGATATGCACCCGCCTCTGTGCAGCAAAAAATGTGCACCCAAATATGCAAGGAAAGCTTAACGTCGAAAAGCTGCCATCACAACATAGAGCCAGCGCTTTCGCTACTCGACTCTCACACCTGCTCTCAGTGGAACCACATTTCCCGCTCATTAAGTACCGCCGCCGAAGAAGTAGTCGGATTTCAGCGAGCCCGAAGGAAAAACTGGTACGATGAGGAGTGTCAGGAAGTTGCATAGAAAAAGGATGCCGCCTACAGGGCCACGCTGCGATTTGGCCCAACGCGCGCTATGTGGGACCGCTATAGGGATCTGAAGAGGGAAGCGAGACGTATTTGGCGCAATAGAAGAGAGAGGCCGAAATACGTGAGTGCGAAGAGCTTGAAATGCTGGCCGACAGGAAGAATGCCCGAAAATTTTACCAGAGAGTTAGGCGACTTGCGGAAGGTTTCAAGACCGGGCGTACTCCTGTAAGAACAATAATGGCGACCTAGTAACTGATGTCCAGAGCGTACTTAAATTATGGAGGGAACACTTTTCCGCCCTACTAAATGGTAGCTGCACGGAAAGTTGTGGAGAAGAAGAACCCGAGCCCGCAGTCGATGATGACGGAGTCGACGTTCCACCGCCTGACTATGACGAGGTACGTATAGCAATAACGCGGCTGAAAAACAACAAAGCTAGTGCAGCTGACAGCCTGCCAGCTGAGCTACTCAAGTACGGTGGCGAGGAGTTGATAAGGAGCATGCATCAACTCTTATGTAGAATATGGTCAGACGAACGCATGCCCGACGACTGGAATTTAAGTGAGCTCCAACTACCACGGGATCAGCTTTCTAAGCATAGATTACAAGTTCTTATCGAGCGTTGTTAAAGACTGAAGCCCACCGTCAATGAACTGATTGGGCCTTATCAGTATGGCTTTAGACCTGGCAAATCCACCATAGACCAGGTATTCACAATACGCCAAATCTTGGAAAAGACCCGCGTGAAAAGGATCGACACTCACCGCCTATTTTTCGACTTTAAATCCGCTTTCGACAGCACTAAAAGGAGTTGCATATACGCCGCTATGTCTGAATTTGGCATCCCCTCAAAACTCATCCGGTTGTGTAAAATGACGTTGAGCAATACCCCCAGCGTGCAATTGCTGGCTTATGCCGATGACATCGAAATCATCGGTATCAAAAACCGCGAAGTCTGTTCTGCCTTTTCCAAGTTGGATAGGGAAGCAAAGCGAATGGGTCTGGTGGTAAACGAGGACAAGACGAAGTATCTCCTATCATCAAACAAACAGTCAGCACATTCACTCACGCCACTGTTGGCAGTTATAATTTTGAGAAAGTAAAGAATTTCCTTTACTTGGGAACCAGCATTAACACCGATGATAATGTCAACATGGAAATCCAACGCAGTATCAATCTTGCCAACAACTGCTACTTCAGTTCAGGAGTAAAGTCCTCTCTCGACGTACGAAAACCACACTATATAAGTCACTCATTATGCCCGTGCTGGTATATGGCGCAGAAGCATGGACAATGACAACATCCGATGAGGCGGCTCTTAGAGTATTCGAGAGAAAGATTTTGCGGAAGATTTACGGGCCTTTACCTGTTGGCGACGGCGAGTACCGGACACGATGGAACGACCAGTTGTATGAGCTTTACCACGACGTGGAAATAGTGCAGCGAATTAAAATACAGCGGCTTCGCTGGCTTAGCCATGTCGTTGGAATGGACACCGACGCTCCAGCTCAGAAAGTATTCAACTCGGAACCCGCTGGTGGTAGCAGAGGAAGAGGGAGGCCCCCACTGCGATAGAAAGACTAGATAGAGAACGACTTCGCTTCACTTGGCATTTCCAAGCGCTTAGGCGGTTACAGTGCCAAATAAGAAGAAGAGATATTGAATTTCAGTGCATTTAAAGTTTTTGAGGCATTGTTTTCTATAAATCGCGAACAGTGAAAATCGGCAACACCAAAGAGCGGTTCGCGGAATGCATCACTTTCTGTTTGCTACATCGCACAGTGTTTCGACTATATGGAGGCAGGTGGAAATAATAATACACCTGCACCGATTTCACTGAAACTTGACGTGTGCTCTAGTTTAACTTAGAAATAGAGAATTATGAAAATTTGTAAAGATGGAATAATTGCCACGCCCTCTACTCTGGTGAGCGGAAACATTAAATTTCATCCGATTTCAATGAGATTTAGTTTATTAGAAAACCCTAAATATAAAATATGGGAAAGATTGGATCACTATAATGTCCAAAACTCACAAAAAATGTGGGCCCAGTCATTAAATGGGATAGAATTTTGGTAAATTTTTATTTCCTGCTTTCCTTTCTCATACAACAAAGTTTATACTATAAAATGACTTAGGTGTAGATACTCGCTTTTTCCCAATGTTTGGTGAGATTTTTCAATGTTCGACAAATTCTTTTCGCGAAATTATTGCAAAAAGAAGCTGAAAATCAAAAATTAAGAAAATCCAAAATTACATATATTTGCAAAGTCGCGCGCAAAGATCAATTTATATATTCGAAAACTACATAAAATTCTCTAAAACACACTTCTAATTAATAATCTTCAGCATCTACCTATGTAAATACCTTCACCTGAATATTCCACGATATTTAAATATTTGATCACAGTTGAAAAAGAAACACTTTCTTTAACGGGTTGATCGCCAAAGGCAGCTAAACTGATTAGATTTCGCGCCCATTCCAGTATATTTTTTGGAAATGTATCGTTCGTAAAGAAGAGGTGTGAGTAAATAATTTAAAATTTGGTATTTATGACTTTTACTTTTCCCTCTCTAAGTCCAACCGGTTTTTTTTATCAACTGTCACCATGACTTTTTTCTACCTGCCTCCATATAGTCGAAACACTGTGCATCGTGGGCATTGTGCATATAATTTGTTAGTATAATTTTTATTTATACACGGCTAAGGCAAAGAACATAGTGACGTGACAAAAAGAGTGTGTAGTGGAATCCCACTTTGCTTACTTATTAGTAACTTCACAAAAATGGGTGCTCCGACGATGCCGCCGCTACCGGTTTGTGTGTATGCCGGCGGGTGCTCCGTTGCTGTTCTATGTGCACGCCGGTGGTGTTACTGCTGCCGCTGCTATATACAAGCACTACGCTTGTATATGAAAGACAACTACTCTGTCGCGCTGCGTGCGCTAATGAGCCTTTAAAAATTTCCGAAGGTCTTTGAATAAAGAGAGATGTTCAACTTTGGTTTGGATGTACGCGCAAATAGGCTTCTTAAGGGGCATATTGAAAATTTTAATTAAAAAAAAACCCTAAGCTAGCTAGGTAGGTTTTGTCCGATTAAAAAAATATTGTGACGAATACTGCGGCAACGCGAAGCGAACAGTGAGAAATAGGCAGAATGTTCGAGGAATGACGTAGAATGTTCCACAAAGAGAAATGTCAAGTTGGATGAACACTGCGAACAGCGAGAGAAAGAGAATGAGCGATAAACTTCAGAACCTTCTAGAGTTGCCATAAGTACGAGCGCAGGTATATAAGGGCGCCGCCACAGCGAAGTGAGT